CTGGCCAGGCATATTATTATTATATGTGCCTATCTTATTTGGGCACAACTGATAGCTTCTCTTTAAGTGCAGATCATAGAATATCCCAAGTTGGAAGACAAGGATCACTGAGTCAAATCCCTGACTCTACAAAGGATCACCCAAAATTCAAATTATATTACTGAGAGTGTTGCTCAAATGCTTCTTGAACTACAGATGGTTTGATGCCATATCCACTTCCCCAGGAAGTTTGCTCTGTTTCCAGCCACTGACAAGAATTGTATCAATCTGCTGAATTCAGTCAATACAGTAACATTATTACTACTCTACAAAACAGCAAGATCAAATCTAAAATAGTAATCCTAACCCAAAATAGTAAAACTCAACCTATAAAATGTCCGGGGTCCATGGTGCCTGCAGAAAATTCATTAAGAATGCTTCTGTACTGATCTTTTTCGTCTCTGAAATATTGAAAGGAATGAAGAAAGAATATTTTGAATAACACCTGGCAAACAATAGACAGTTGTGGAAAAATCTATGACATACTGCATGAGTTCAACACCTTGGCAGTTTCATATGAAATATATTTCCCCATCTCCTATATAATGACCTTAAATTACTTAAAATAGACCATTCTGGCTTTCCACATATGCTTCATAAGGACATGAAGAGCAACCAGCAAATGGTGCAGAGAAGGTTATTACCCTCTGAGTAACATAAGACAAATGGTGGCCTGAGATACTGAATGTCGAAAACAGATCCATACTGCTGTATGTTTGGCAGCTGTTCATCTAGGTCATCATTCTTGTGTGGCTTCAGTAACAGAATTTAAAGCATTACCAAAAGTCTGTGAAAGTTAGGATGAATCAAATTTTTAGTTTGTTTCTTTTTCACAGCAGCTATCATGGCAAAAAAAGATATAAGGCACTTCTTCTATAAATACATATCATTTGTTGTTGCCTAGCTGTTTGGAAATAATTGACAGATTCATCATTTGTTTAGTATTTCCCTTTGAATATGAGCTAGGTTGACTGTCAGAATTCCTTAGACCACCAACGCCCTACTGTTATAAAAAGGGTACTAAATTTTCCAGGCACCTCACAGAAGCTTTGTAAATTCTCAGAGATTACCACAAATACTTCTGAGATTGCTTCAGCATCTCAAGAGTTTTGAAAGATGCTTCTATTAAAAAAGAAAAACTGAATTGGCTAGCATTCACATATGAGTAAATAACAGCACCATTTGTATCCCTGATAGTTGGATTTTTCCTATTTAAATTCACTTGCAGATTTCATATCTACTATCTATCATTTCTATATCTATAACTAACAATGATCAGTTTGCATTGATATGCAGTAACAAGGATAAGTAACAAAAAGAAATACAAGATAGTCAATTATGTAGGACAACTTTTAAGCAAATTTATTATTAGTGAGGGATGCTAGATTAATAGCCCTAGGGAAAAAAAAAATGTCTAACAAGACTGCACACAAAAATAAAGTGTATAGATAAGCAAACATTACTGAAGTTTCTAAATTCATCATGACTGATCTGTTTTTTCTGATACTTTAGACATCTGATCTTAGAACAGGAACACATTTTTTCTAGTATATATCTAATCAATCTTCAGCATTTCAGTAAAATTCCCCTGAATTACAACTCATGTCAAATTTTAATCCACAGACATTTCTAAACGAAGAGATTTTGCAGGGCACCAGTTCATTTTACTCAGGTCACCAAATCAGAGGTATATAAAAACCAAGTTGTTGGCATTAACAGTTCAGATTTGTAGGTGTATCAGTACACATAAAAGCTTGTGTTAATTAAGTTTAACAGCAACTCAGTTAAAAGTAATAGCTGAAGTTTACATTAAATAAATTGTCCTAATGGGCATACATACTACCTGGCAACACTGCTTTCCACTCCTATAACCTTCTTTTCTCCATTTTCTGAAGTGTTATTTTTTGCAAAAAGCAAACTTTAAAAACACTTTGCAAATAAGTTCAATTTGGCTATTTTCTGTATGTTTTTGAAATTCCAGTTATTATTTCAATACCTTGTCTCGACTCTTCAAATAATATGAGCAAAAACGCTTCCCATACAAATTAGATCTTCCTCATTTTCAGAAAGTTGTATGCATTGTAATAGAATAAAACAAAAAATCTTCAGTAAAACATCCATAATTCTTTGCATGTAAGATGTTAATGAGTCCAGACACAATTCTGAAAACACTTCATTTTTGACAAAGGAACGCTGTCTTTGGTTGAAATTTTTGCCCAGAAGTTGACCAAAGAAAAATTCTAATTAGCTCACTCTTGAATCTGCCCAAATTTTCCTTTACCTATCATATTCCACCATTTCCCCTCATTGAGTATCAGACAGAAAGCTAGGAAACATGCACAAGGAAGGGTGAAAGCAGAATACAGAGTGACCAGACAGAACTAAAATAACCGATATATTCTCCCCCTCTACTCTGTTCTCATGAGACTCTACCTGGAGTATGGTATTCAACTCTGAGACCCTCAACATAAGAAAGGCATGGGTTTCTCAGTGTAGGACCTGGACCAGGGGAAAGCCATGAAGATGATCACATGGCTGGAGAACCTCTCCAGTGAAGACAGGCTGACAGAGCTGGGGTTGTTCAGCCTGCAGGAGAGAAGGTCTCAGGGAGACCTCATTGCAGACTTTCAGTACCTGAAGGGGGACTACAGGAGAGATGAGGATGAACACTTTAGCAAGAAGTATGGTGACAGGATCAGGGTAATAGCTTTAAACTAAAAAGAGTAGACTTAGATTAGATACATGGAAGAAATTATTTGCTGTGATGGTGAACCACTGGAGCAAATCGCAGAAAGCAGCTGTAGATGTTGCATACTCAGTTCCAGGCTGGATGGGGCTTTGGGCATTCTAGTTTAGTAAAAGATGTCCTGCCCCATGGCAATGTCGTTAGGCTAGACTACCTTTAAAGGTCACTAAGGTGCAACCCAAACCATCCTGTGATTCTATAAAATTAAAACTCAAGTCAGTCATGACATCATTATCTTTGTTGTTACAGTCCACATACTATTGTGTATACCACAGAATTGTAGGGGTTAGGAGGCACCTCTTCTGGAGATCATCCAGCCCAGCCCACTCTATTAAAGCAGGTTCCTTACAGTAGGTTACAGAGGAAAGCATCCAGTGGGCTTCAGACTATCTCCAGAGGAGACTCAATAGTCAATCTGGGCAGCCCATTCCAGTTCTCTGTAACCCTCAAGATAAAGAACCTCTTTCTCCTATTTGTATGGAACCTCCTATGTTCCAGTTTTTATATTCTCTTCAGTGCCAAGTCCCAGAACTATCTACATCAAGTATTAACAAATTTTAGATTGTACTTTGTTTTACAGTTTTTCAGTGACTTTTGATAAATATACACACTATGACAAACACACAAAGAATAAGACGCTCTCCAAATATCTCTGCAAATGTTACCATTTCAATAGCAATTGGCATCAGATTTCAAGCTAATGCTCTAATTGTTTTATTTTTTAATGAAAACATCAAACTCAATCCTATTGATGTCATTCATGAATATGAATATTCTTGGAATTCACTGATTCATCATAGCTCTATCTTCTCTGAAAGGAAATTAACACAAGTTTCTGATTAGCAGTGGGGCTGTCTACCCCTTTTTAACTGACAGTCATATTCCACGTTAATAGTAAACTTTTATTTGCTAGTGTAGACATTTTCTTTTCCCCTTGACCTTCCCCTGACTCTAGGACTACAATCACAAAAGTAGTTCCAAAGATCCTAAAACTCATGATTGTCTGATAAGGAAGCTATAACAAGATTTTCTAGTTACCTATGCAAGATGAAAATTGGATTCTACCTAGTAAGAGTGCCTTGCCTTCTAAAATGAGAATACATTACAGAGACAGAAATTGATCCAATAAATATTTTAATAGCTATGCACTGAGAGAACACAGGACTAAACATTATTAATGGACCATATTCTTGTAATGAGCAGTTCTAAGCCACTGTTTTCATTTTGTTTTCCCCAGCTTAGGTAATACCTGCAGTAAAAGTATCAGTTCTGCTTTTGTTTCCTCTAAGCATTCACAAAAGAAAATTAAAATGTTGATAGTGCAGAAAAAGTTTTTACATTTATTGTTACTTCACTAGCACTACCACTGAATTTCTTACAGGTGCATTTCACAATTGCAAGAAACGATGTTTGAAAAAGTGACACCTTATTTTCCTCTAGTTTGAATCCTCATCTCTTCTTTAACATATATAAAAAGTTTTATCATGTCATTAAAAGATTTAATGCACTTGAAATACATGTTTTTAACTGAATAAAGAAAAGCTGTGCTGGCATAAAAACTGATTATCACATTTCTTCAAGCTGTTTTAAGGAAAACAAATATCATATGACTTACCAGGGTAGCTAATAGATTGGTAAAACAGAATTTTAAACTGGTTGTCATTTAAGTGGATACATGTTTAGGGGTTTTACTAACTACCAACTGTTTTTCTACTTATTCCCAGCTGTATAAACTACTACATATTGTATTTTTTAGGGTCTAACAATAGGCATTTGGGTGCTTCAGAAGTGAAACTTCTTTCTGTCTGTACATCACAGTAAATCTTAAATGCTGTAAAAGAATAATTTCATTCTTGATTGTAATTTATTATTATCTTTCCCTTTTCTCTAACTGCCCATACAGACATATTTGAATAAATAATAAAATATTTAGAGGAAATCTCATTTTCTTTATATTACGCTCACTTAAATTGCCAGTTGTTTCCATGAACAAGGTTTTATACACATGCATGTTCTGTTTGCAAGGCCCTTTTCTTGAGTGTGTAAACCTCCAAGTTCATCTCTCGAAACTCAGTAACTTTTTACACTGAAATCTAGTATTCTGTACATTATGTTTCCTCTACAAAAGTGTCTTAAGAAAAACAGCACAGAAACAGGGTTTATTCTATACTTAATCTGTAACGCGTTGGATAACCAAACAACACGTAAAACTTACAGCTGTCCATGCTTCTGTTCTGCATCGAGAACACAACCATTCATTATGGATTTCATGAGAAGGAACACCATAGCAACCTAGAATGAGAGAGCTGATTTGATTAATATATTCTATATGTCTAATCATGATGTCATACAATTCAACTACGTACAAACACCAGTAAATCATATACTGTGATCAAGGAAAGTTTTCCACTGTTAGGATTATTGCTGTTCTACAGTTTGTGTGTATGTGTGTGTGTGTGAATGCAGCCTCCCCAGACTTCCAAACTTTTAAAAAAAGAAGAGCCACAGCAGGGCATTTTTTTATTTTCTATAACTTCAGTAGCAAATCATCAGTTCTCCCTGCAATAACAAGGTACAGTCTGAATCAACGTACTGACACTCTACGCAATTACACTGCATCTCCATTTAAGGACTTCTTAGATGTAAGCATTCAAGTCCTACTATATGTAGAAGATACTACAGAAGAATCATGCATTAATCAGTCACTTGAAATTAAGGATGTAAGGTGGAGTAAATTGCTGTATTAAATAATTAATAGAGATATAGTTAATAGAGATATTCACAAATCCTCAATTTTAAAAGGATTTCACCTTTACAACCTGTTAAGGAAATGCTAACATCACAGATGGGTTTAAAATATAAGGAGTAAACTTAAAGGCTTAGTGTTGAACAAAAAATCAGAAGTCTCTGCTGCCCACAGTTAAATGAAAATTGCAAAACTAACTCTTCTTTAGTTTCAGAGCAACCATAAACAAATAACAGAACACTTAACATAGGGTAAAAAAAATGCAGCCATTGATTTCAAGCATTAATTATGGAAAATGTTTTTCAAGTGCTTACTTACACATAGCAGAAGCTTACTTAACTATTACTTATCGATAAAACAAAATTTGAAATGGCACTGCTACCAACTGAAATAGTAATGTATTTACTTGCATGTACTCGTACACAACACTTCGCACAGGAAATAAGAAGACTTGTTCCATCCTCATCAATTAAGGCATTTGATGGAGAGTTTTCAGTGTTTTCTTCGCTATAAATAAAACACATCTCTGGAATAAGAGGTCTAGACTTCTCATTTTCAATGACTAGTTTTTCTTCTAAGTTTGCTTCCTTGTAAGTAGAATTTTCTTCATCAAGATTTTCTGGCTGGAAATAAAATAAAATCACATTTAAGTAAAAAGAGGAGAGTCCTTCTTTCAGCTCTTTTTAATTATGGTCAAATGCCTTCTCCACACCCTGCTCCTCCATTAATAATGTAACAGTTCATAAGAAAACTAACTACTGCGGGTTATCTATCACAATCATTCTATAGTTCCTTGACTATTCAAATAATAAAAAAGCACTCAGTCTGAAAATTAGCATTATTGCAACAGCGTTCAATGATACAGTACAATTGACTCCCACTAAGCCCTTTAGCTGGATCCAGTGCAAAAGGTCTTTTTTCCAGGTCGCAAACAAAGGGGTTTCCTGTTCAGTAGCTGCCGAATTAGTACTGTATCAGCGTTTTTAGCTGATGTTTGACACAAATTCCATAAGCCAATATCAAATTGTGTCCTGGATAAGAAGGTTTCTATGGAAATACTGTTCTTGAGAAGGCCCAAGTACTGTGAGATGATGCTTTTTCAGCACTGTAGGAAGGAGCTGTGGAAGCAGTTTTGATGAAAGGCATTTGACAATGGACATATAAGGAAGTAACTAAAAGATATAAACCTGTGTGGATTAATCACCTTCAAAAATGCAACTTTCTGTATGTGTAAGCACACATGCACTAACACCAATCCTAAATAAATCGCAAGCAGAAGGCATACAAAGTCTGTAACAAAAGATAAATGCAGGTGGATCAAGCATCATCTCTAGTTTTAACAATATTGAGTTTATTTACTCCCCATACAGCCAAAATCAGTAACTTTAACTTCTTTCTAATGTAATAGCAATTTTCGGGAAATGCTGAAGCTGGGCAGCTATTTCACACTCCTCTCAGAAATGAAACTCTAAGGATCTTGCTTACCTTGTAGTATGGCATGAGAAGAGTGCAAATTGCACAGTAGGGCTCCTTTTTTGCACAACATGCATTGTATTCTTTTTCAGCATTGAAATTAGGTGTTCTTGTCTGCCAAAGGTGGACAAGAGGCCTAGCCCATGTCTCTGTCTCTTGAACTTCCTCTTCAGTAAATGCAGTTTCAGGCAGCTCTTAAAGAAAAAAATCAGAACAAGAGGTAAAGGGCAGAAACTGTAACAAATTAAGTTCTGTTTGAACATCAGGAAACACTTCTTTAATGTGCAGGTGATGGAGCACTGGCAAACTGTCCAGAAAGGCTATGGAGTCACCCTCCTTTCAGGTCCAATAGACACATGGGCATAGTTCTGGGCACCCTGCTCTGGATTTCCCTGTTTAAGCAGGGGCTGGACCAGACAGACCCCCTCAAGGTCCCTGTCAATCTCAACTAGTCTGTGATTCTATGAAAGCAAGCAATTGGACATATTCTTTTCCTGAAAGGGAGAGAAACAATACTGAATTTGCCATGTTCACTAATAGCGAGACCAAACAATGCTAAAGAAAGTCTGAGAGTGAATACAAATGCAGAAGTCTAAAGAAATTATGCATCAGGACAAGCACACAAAAAAGCACTTTGACATCACAAGCTGACTACTTTACAGAAAGTATTTCAGTAGCTCTTCAACTAAAAATTGTATTCATATCCTTATTCGTAACATTAAAAACTGTCTCAACTCTTCCAAATGTTGTGGATGTTGTAGAACATGGGTGACAACCTTTTACTTTGCCTGGGCTGCACTGGGTGAAGAAGAATTGTCTTGGGATGCCATCTTTGTTGTTGCTGAGTGATGGGTGCACCCCTAGGGCTGGCCGGGCTGCTCTATAGGAAAGAGCTGCTGCCATGATGGCAGGGTGTGAGGCTAATCACTGGCTGTCCAGAGCCATGGGTTGGACATGCCTGTTGCAGAAGTTCATTCATTCACAGTGTGCCTGGGGAAGACCTTAATTTTAAAATTCTAAAGTTGACTTTAAGAAGTTCAAAGCCTCTAGAGAAGATGGAGAATAAAATCAGATTGAACTCTGAAGAGAAAGAAATTATCCAATAGGTGTAATCTGAAAATGTAGTCATTTGTTCCTGAGAAAGATGCAGAAAAAGGAATTCTGAGAAAAGTAGACGTCATTATCCTCATTTCAACTGGTATGGAGCTAATTTTCCTTTCTGGAAAGCTGGCATAGTGCTATGTTTTAGTTTTAGGAGAATGATATTGATAGCACTGATTTTTTAGTTACTACACAGCAGTGCTTACATACAGTTGAAGACTTTTCAGCTTTTGTGCTGAGAAGGCTGGGGTGCACAATAAGCTGGGGGGACAGAATCAGCAAAGCTAACTCAAACTTGTCCAAGGGGTATATTTAAGGAAAAAAAGTTTATTTCAGAAGAAAATTCCAAAAACAAAAATATGCTGTGAAGTATATTAAGCTGAATTATCATGTTCTTTCAGCCTATTACTGCCTTCATCCACTTTACAAAAAATCAGTAGCTTTACAGGTCTCCTGGTATGTTAAATTGTCACGAGTTGCTACAAAAGCATTATGAAGTTGATAGCACTGTTATCAGTACTGAATAAAAATGGATTTAAAATATTGTATACAAGCAGTCCTAACATTTCCAAATATATATACACAATGAAAGTGAATTTTATTCCCTTTTATATTCCCTCTTCTCTCATGAGAACTAACGTAAATTCAATAAAGAATCACCAGTAATGAAGGTAGAAGGACAAAGACAAAATGTCTGCCAAAAAAACTGTCATCAAGTCAATATTCAGCAGCAGTTCTTTACTGCAGATAATACAGCTGTAAAACAATAGCGACAAGAAAACAGCTGAAAATAAGGAGGAGATAACATAAAACGCAGGCATCACTCTTCTAGTCTTCTGCATAGCTTTTGTTGCTGTTGTTGTTAAGGGTCTTATTAACCTAAAGAAAAATTTAAAAATTATCAATTATATTATTTCTCTTACTTGCATTTTTCCAGAACTGGCTTCAATTTTGCTGACTCTTTTTCCCTAAACTCATTTTTGACAGTATTTCTCCTATGAAGCTAATACTACCATTATTTTAAATGTTTTCACTATGTACTCACAGTAAAAAGATTTCATCAATCTAGGTAAAGAAAGCAAAAAGAACACGAAATTTGTTGAGAAGATTTGTAGCTTATGGCTTCTCTATCTCTTATCTACTTTGAATCTGATATCCTTTGATCCCATAGCTGTGGGAATAATAAACTCCCATCAACCCCAAGCTTGTGCAGGATCTGCCACTCCATCTGGATGCATGTACGTCTATGGGCCCAATGCAGTACATTCCAGGACACTCCAAGTGCCTGCTGATGTCATGACAGATTTTTCAGTTATTTTTCAACAGTCTCAGGAATCTGGAGAGGCCCCACTCAACTGGATGCTGGCAAACACCGTCTCAGTTTTCAAAGAAGATCCTGTTAAACACAGGTCTGACAATCTCACGTCAGTGTCAATTAAAATTTTGGAGAAAATACTTGAAATACAGCACATTCACTGATCATAGCCAGAGTTCATGAGGCATAAGAGCTGCTTAATGAATTTATTTTACTTTTATAATAAGTTTTACTACTGTCTCTGACACTATCCTGGGCATAATATCCAGCATATAGCCAGACAAAAACATGATGTGTTGGCTGAACAACTGGCTGACAGGTCAAGCTCAAAGGGTTTTAGTAAACGAAGTTACATCAGGCTGGCAACCAATCAGTTGAGGAGTTCTCAGGGTTCATCTTAAGGGTCAGTTTTCTTTAAGGCTTTTATAAATTATCTGGACAAAAGATTCAAATGCATTCTAAGAAAGCTTGCAGATGATACTAAATCAAGAGAAGTTGCTGCCTCCCTCAAGGGTGGACAGGTATTGCAAAGAGATCTTGAAGAGGGCTGGGCAATTTAACAAGTGCCAGATTCTGAGCCTGGGAACAGAATTCTGGGACAGGGAAACCTTCAACATATGAACAGACTAGAAGATGAGACTGGCGGATGAGAGGCTAGAGACCAGCCTTGCAGAAAGAAATCTGGGAGTTGCAATCATTGCCAAGACAAGTATCAGTCAGCAATGTGCTGTGGCAGCATAAGGGCCAACTGTGCCATGGGATGCATGAAACCCAGCACTGCCATCCGGTGAAGGGAGCAATTGCCCTGCTCTGCTCTGCACCGGTGCTGTCTCACATCAAGCACTGCATGCAGTTTTGGGCACCACAACATGGGAAGTACGTACAACCATCAGATAGCTTCGACAGGAGAGATGCAAACATGGTAAAGGGTCTAGAGGGCAAGGCATGCAAGGATCGGCAGAGGTCCCTGAGTTTGTTCAGCTCAGAGCAGAGGAGCTGAGGGGAGGCCTCACGGCAGGCTGCAGCTCCTCACAGGGAGCAGAGGGGCAGCGCTGAGCTCTGCTCTCTGGGACAGCAAGTGGGAGCAGCATGGAGCTGCTCTCAGAAACACGGTTTGAACTTCAGGTGGTCCTGCTTGAAGTTGGTTTTGATATCCTTGTGAATCCCTTCCAACTCAGGACATTCTACGATTCTGTGACTGAACTACTCTTTGCTGAATGAATCTCCCATGGGCACAGAAGCCTTCACCCTGAACCTCAGCCTACTATGCCTCTTTTTAATCAAAATATGTCTTCTATCAATTCCACAATAATATTTCTTCATCTGTTACACGTATTTTTTGCTTATCATTCCCTTTGGTAAGCTGCTGTATTGGTTCACTTCTGATGGAATCTGTATTTTTACCTTAATTGCATATGATCTCCACTATTTCTGTTTTGCCCTTGTACAATTTTCACAAATCATTTGCAGACGGGGAGGGACAAGAACGCAACAGACAGGAAAAAATCTGACGGCACTCATCAAACATTTTGTTGCTTTCCAGAACTTTGTATTTTCAAACTTTGTACTTCATTCCAAATGAAGTGAAGGAAAAAACACCGTACGCATACCGGACTGCACCTTTCACCACCTCCAAAATAAAAATAAAAAATAAATAAAAATTACGCTTTTACTAAATTTTGCTCTTTGCATCATGTTCAGACTGTTTCCAGTTATTTTTTGATCGGAAACCCTTCTTCATTACTTCCAAATTGTAACAACTGTAATAATTTCTTTAACTCCTTTGAGAGAGGACTGTCTTCCCAGCACGCCTTACTACAGTCTCTTAGTCTATGAGGGCTGCTCTAAAAATAATGCCTCCTATTTCATGACATTGGCCTACAACATCAGAGGCAGATAGGGTGGCGTGGCAATAAAGGCTGAACATTCCCACCAATATTCTGTTACATTTTGTTGCTGTATGACAAATGGCAGCAGAGGGGCAATTTGACAGAATGGTGCCCGATATGGAAGTGTGTATGAAGTAAAGGAGTGTCAATGAATTAATTATTCCATGCAGAAAAAATTGCACCCACTGACGCACATCAGCGCTTACTAAACATTTAGGAAGATAAACCTATGGATGTGAAAACAATGAGGCAGAGGTGGTGCACTTCAGCATTGGCAAAGGCAACAGTGGGTCACCTCCACTGCTGCAGATTTTTACAAGCACAGCATGCAGGCTCCTGTTCACTGCTGGTGAAAATGCATAGATACTGGTGGTGAGTGTGCTGTATAATAGCGATCAGTAGCTGAGAACCTGCTCTATCAAAAAGCTTTGCATCTCTGTGCTCTTTGCATCTCCAGTAGTTTCCATGGAAATACATAGAAGGTGTTGTCCTCTCTTTCAGGGACTTCAGAAATATTATTTGGTCTCCTCAAAATCAACATTCCCACACTAAAATCATAAAATGTCAAATGAGATTGATATGATAAATAAAGTTACAGAGTACATGAATCTCATTACAAAACATGGCAACAATATTGCCTTCAATAACTTTATCACCACATAGAATATGCAGTCCTACATGTAGATGTATTTTAGATAAACTGAACTTGGGAAGTTTCACTTTGGTTGTTTCTTTCAAACACAAACCAACAGCATTGATGGAAAGAATTCTAAAGTCAGTTTCTTTGCTGGTATAGGAGGAGTTAGCTTTCTTGTTTCCATAAAGTCACACAAGTTACGTATTGTGAACAAAAAACTGACAGCCTAATTATGCAAAACAGGCAAGAAAA